AACTATATGAGTACTCATTTGAATGAAAATTTTCAATCTACTATAGTTTTGGTGATCATTCTATTGTAAAAGTAATGGGAAAAGGTGATATCAAAATAAGAACAAGGAATGATTTTGTTGAAACAATATTAATGTATTGTATGTTCCTGATTTGAAAAGTAATGTATTGAGTGCTGGCCAATTACAAGAAAAGTGTTATGTAATCACTATTAAAAATGGTGTTTGTGAAATACATAATTCTATTAGAGGTGCTATTGTTTTTATTCATATGAGTTCAAATAGATTGTTTGCATTAAAGATTGAAGGAATCTAATCTAGTTTAATGCTGAAATGAAAGATCCTTCATGGTTGTGGCATTTTCGCTATGGGCATTTGAGTTTTGGTGGGTTGAAGACGCACTAATAGAAAAACATGGTGACGGGCCTCCTTCAAATCATAATTCCACCTTCCTTAGTATGTAAGGAATGTATTGTTAGCAAACAACATCGTTCTGAATTTGCAAAAGGGAACTCATGGAGAGCAAAGGGAGTTTTGCAATCAGTGCATTCAGACATTTGTGCTCCACTAAACTCAATTTCTAATGGAGGTAAAAAATATTTAATTACCTTCACTGACGATTTTTTTATAAAAACGTGGGTTTATTTTTTATAGGTAAAGTCAGAAGCTTTCTCTACATTTAAAATTTTTAAAGCTCGTGTGGAAAATGAGATAGGAAGGAAGATTCGGACCCTTAGCACGGATCGTGGTGGTGAATATTGCTCAAAAGAATTTGAAGCTTTAAGTGAAGAACTTGACATCCGAAAAGAGCTTACAACTACATATACACCATAACAAAATGGTGTATCGGAGAGGAAGAACAAAACCATCCTCAACATGGTTAGAAGCTTATTGGCAAGAGAAAGAGTTCCAAAAATGTTTAGGTCAGAAGCAATAAATTGGTGCATTCTTTTGGAACAGAAGACCAACTTTGCAGTTCAAAATATGACGCCTGAAGAGGCTTAGAGTGGGAGAACACCCAATATGGATCACTTTAGAATTTTTGGATGTATTTCATATGCTAATGTCCCGAATCAGAAAAGGAATAAAAGTGATGACAATGCTGAAAAATGTGTCTTTCTAGGTGTAAGTGATACATCCAAAACATGTAAATTATTTAATCCACTAACAAAAAGAAAATGTGATTAGGAGGGATGTTATTTTTTTATGAATAAAACACTTGAGATTGGAATATGCAGAAACCTACCCAAGTTCTTTATGATATTGATTCTGAACAACTGCAAATTTTAGCATCTAGTATGCCTGCAAATTCATCCACTGCAATTTCTTCAACCATTGATTCCTCACCATCAGTAGTTGGAGTTAATGAAGAAGAAACTCAACATCTTCGTCATGTTAGAAGAAGGCTTGCTTGGATGGAAGATAATGAAGTAACTAGAATTGAAGATCAAATTACTCACTTTGCTTATTTTTTAGAATGTGATCCTATAACTTTTGAGAGTGCTGTAAAAAAAGAAAAATGGTGAAAAGCGATGGATGCTGAGATTGATGCAATTGAGAGGAATGATACTTGGGAGCTGATTGATCTTTCAAATGGACACAAAACCATTAGTGTGAAATGGGTGTTCAAAACAAAGTTGAAGGAAAATGGTGAAATCGATAAGCACAAAGCACACTTAGCTGTCAAGGGGTATAAACAACAATATGAGATTAATTATACAAAAGTTTTTTCTTTTGTTGCTAAACATGATACAATCAGGTTGGTGGTTGCATTGACAGCACAAAATTATTGGCCTATTTACCAGCTAGATGTCAAATTGGCATTCTCACATGGGTACTTGGAGAAACATGTATTTATTGAACAACCCCTTGGTTATGTGAAGGTTGGAAATGAGCATAAAGTTTACAGATGAAAAACAGAACTTTATGGACTAAAACAATCCCCTCGGGCTTGGTATAGTCGTATTGAGTCTTATTTTCTTAAGGTTGGTTTTACAAATTGTCCTTATGAACATACACTTTTTGTTAAGATTGGTGATAAAGGAAAAATGGTTATTGTTTGTTTATATGTAGATAAACTCATATTCAGTGAAAATTGTGATGTTATGTTTGAAGAATTTAAAAAGTCTATGATGAATGAATTTGAAATGATTGATCTTTGAATGATGCATTACTTTCTTGGCATAAGTGTAGCACAATCAAGTGATGGAATTTTTATTTCTCAAAAGAAATATGTGGGAGATATTCTAGAAAGGTTTCAAATGAAGGATTGTAATTCTTTACACACTCCAGTAGAATGTGGCTTGAAGCTACACATAGATCATGAAGGAAAGAAGGTTGACAACACCTTTTACAAATAAGTTGTGGAAAATTTGATGTATCTCACTGCAATAAGGATAGACTTAATGTATTATGTGAGTTCAATTAGCAGGTACACGGAGAATCCTACAGAGATGCATTTGTTAAGAGAATCATTCGCTACTTGTAAGGAACAGGAAATTCCAGGATATTTTATAAGAATGGTGTAAAATCTGATTCAATGGAATTTACTGATAGTGATTATGCAATAGATCAAGACGATAGGAAGAGCACATCAGGTTATATTTTTATGATTGGTATGGGTGCTATTTCATGGGCATCGAAGAAGCAACTAATTGTCATTTTGTCAAGCATAGAAGCTGAATTTATTGTTGCTACAACTTGTGCATGTCAAGCCATTTGGCTAAGGAGAATTCTTAAGGAGCTTCAATTCAAGCAACTAGGAGCTACTAAAATTATGTGTGACAATAATTCAACAATTAGACTATCCAAGAATCCTGTGTTACATGGAAGAAGCAAACACTTTGACGTGAAGTTTTATTTTTTAAGAGATCTTTGTAATGATGGAGCTATTGATCTAATTTACTGCAGGAGTGAAGATTAGATTGCTAATATATTCACTAAAGCTCTCAAGATAGAGTCATTTGTGAAGTTAAGAAGGTTATTAGGTGTCTGTACACTTCAAACTGGCTGTTAATAAACATCAGTTTAATGGAAAGAATGTTGAAATGTCTCTTTAGTTTCTAGTGTCAGTTAGAATGTTGAAGAGTCAATTGTCTCTTGGTTTTCTTATGTCATTTATGAATTTAAATAATCATTATGTTTAATGTGGGTGTTATGAGTAGTTGATGATGTGGTGTAATGAGACTCTTGATTAATATTGTAATGAGTCTATTCATTCGATTTTTAATTTTTTGTATTGCCTTTTAATAGATTTGGTGCATTGAAGAAATATGTAACGTTACCTTTTTTAGTATTTTAAAGTGTTTCAATTTTAGAATGTCAAACTTCTATCAAATCAATCATCCTAATTTATTCGTGTGTCTGCCACTATATATAAAGAGTGTCATATATATTTTTCTAATTATATACTTTGTGTCAAATGTTCCATACTAAATAATAAAATTTACAACTGAAAACAAAAAATTATAATTTTAGTAATAAAATGATTATTACTGAGTCTGTAATCTTTATTATTAAATTTATAACTTTTATTATTTAGTATATAATTTCAAAAAGGTAAAAAGATAGTACTCAAGTGTTTTTTTTTTTAATTTCATGTTTTTAATTGGTTTTTCAAAATTTCCTTAGTTGGGCAAAATGACTGAATTTTCTTGTTTGAAATTTTCCATGCAAAAACCTTAAAAAATAAAAAATGCTTCTTCTATAATAAAGATAATTTTTTTAAAATACTTTTGTTCTGCCAGACGAAATCGGGCAGCAAATTATTTTCTTTTTTTAATAAAAATTAATGACTGTAAATTAAATCTAACTTTGTAAACATATTGATACAAAGCTTTTTTGAGAATATAGTTCTACGGATAGAAAATTATATTCGATTAATTCAATTAAACGAAGCTACATGCTTTTACATTTTTGATATTTTATTTTTTATTTTTTTCACTAGTTTATTAATTATCCAATTAATTTGGTTGGAGTCAAATAAAATTATAAGAATAACAAAACTGTCCATCCTGAGTGTTTAAGATAATCGTTTACCAATACTTTTTTTTCGAGGTACTTTTAATAAATATTATTATAAAATTAATATCATCAAGGCTTTCATAACAATTATTTTTATAAATGTTAACTCTTAACCGTAATTCATTTTAGTAACATTACTCACTTACTATTACATTTAAGTTAATTGATTAATACAATATGAATTGGAAATCTATTAAACTTGATTTTTCCGTATTGTTGACATCACTGAGTAATAGTGACTTGCTTAGATACCATTATATCATTCAATCTTTTCAAAGTTTGAATTAATTGTTAAATTCGGGGCAAAAGCACCAATTTAAGAACATTGGAAAAATGATTATCAGTTTAAATTGATTGAATAAGTTTTTTTTCAAATTAATACAGTCAAACACGTACTAAATCAGTACGGATTAGTCTCGTACATAATCAATACATGACACTGATGTCATATCAGCACCACGTAAACAATCCTACATCTTTTAGATACGAGACTAGTCTCACATCAATATTATACTATACGTATTCTCTCCTATAATCTATTTTTTATATCCGGTCACGATATACTTGATTTGATCTAACGAATTTGGATAATATATCACATCGTTATTCCTTCATTACCAAATTGATATGATTGTGTATGCAAGTTGTAGCTTAAAAAAAACGTTGAGTAAATTGCAAGAAGCAATCCAAATCAAAATTTGAATACTTTATCTTTATCCTGCCCCACAGTGTCATGCACACCCTAAAGTCGTCACGTGTAGTACACACGTGCTTAATATTCACCGGGTGGCAGTACCAAATGGCGTTTTCACCGACAAGTCATTGGCTCATAGACTCCGCATAGGTTCTCGTGAATCAATCAAGTAATCACGCACGTGCTCCTTTACCGGACCATCCAGTCATTCTACCGGTTTACCGGTAAACCAACAACCTTTGATAATTGATAATTCCTCTTAAAAAACAAAGGAGTTAACGGTCAAGATCTCATGAAACTCCTTGCGTGAAACAATACCTCATTGGACTCGCCTCTTTTTTTTTTTTTCCTTCTGTGGTTGGAACCTTTTCCTTTGGTCGTCTTTGATTTTCTGTCTCTCTGGTTAACGTTGTTCTGAGGAAGGAACAAGTGGTTTCTTCCCTTTTGTCTGTGAAGGAAGAGGATTTTGGGTGGTTGGTTTTCATTGGGTTGTGCTTTCTGTCAAAGTTTTTGACTCTGAAATGGAGAGAGATTTCATGGGTCTGAGCTCAAAAGAACCACTAGCTGTGGTCAAAGAGGAGATGAATGATGATGGGTGCAACGACTCAGGCATGTTTCTTCCTCATCCAACTTTTTTACTTGTTTTACCTTTCTCTATTCAAATGCTCTCTTCCAAAATTTGAGTCCTTGAGCTTAAAGTTGTGAATTACGTCTGGGTTGCTTTCCTTCTTCTTTTTATTTTCCTTGTGTTCAATTCTACCTTTTTAGATTGCATGCAAGTTGATTTGAGCTAGAAAAATAATTTTTTTACCACGTTGTTAGATTTGCTTGGTTAACGTGATTTTTTTTTTTGAACATTTTTTTGTTCTTTTTCTTTGTTCCTTCTTTTAACTACGTAGGTGTTTTCTCTGGGCGGTCTGTTCCCGCCTCTTTTTTAGGGGTTCATGTGTGTGAGATTTTATTAGTGGAACTACATAAGTTGCAACTCTTGTTGTAGATATTTAAAGTAGTGTATGTGTGGGTGATAAGTTTGCAATTTGGGGAAAAAAATCATTGTCAAGTTCTTACCAATTTTGTTGATCTGGGTATGCTCCTAAACAAAGACACGTACATAGATGTTCATGTAGGTTAGTATATGCCAATTTGTGAAGCTTTTTTATTTTTATTTTTAATATCTCTTTTTTTCCATCTTAGGCCATATTGGGCAATCAATTTCTTCTACCTTATTATGTTGATGGTCCCTTTGGGTATGTGTAGGCTTCACGAAGGGTTCGGTTGCACAATGGCCCTTCTCGAACAAAGTCTCTGCTCTTCCAAATCTGATGTCTTTCAAGGTATCTCAAGATGATAAGACTAAAAATATGGTCTCTGATCCCATAACATCTACTGGGTTTTTGACTATTTTAAGTCAAGATGCATTTGACTCTAGTCAAAAACGCTCTGCTGGTGAACCACTGGTTTGATACTACCTTTCCTCTCTGTATTTAGTCAAAATTGACAAGTTAGCACTACACTTAGTGTTATTTAGGCTTTAAATCAAAGAAAGTTGAAGACAACTTGTTTATGCACATTTAACAGTTCGGATGCCTCCCGTGTGTTCTGATTGTTACTCTAATTTTAAGTCAACTCTGTAGTTTAAGAGGACTACTTTTTTTTCCTTTAAAAAACTATAAAAACCTGATAATGTTTATAATATTAATTGTAGTTCTTCTGGTTTATGAACTTCACCTTTGGATCTGACTGAACCTAGCATTCGGTTGTTTTGCTACATCTCATATCTGATGTGATGTTCCAACATCCCTCTAATAATTTGACTTAATTCACAAGATCCTGCATTCAATAAGTCTCAGATGACGTCTTTCTTTCCCTTCCTTCCACTGATTGTTTGTTATTACGATTTAGAAATCTTTCAATCATGATGGGCAAGGTGGCTTTCATTTTTCGCTGGCTCCGTATCCTGCACAGCATGATATGAAGTATGTGACTTGTCCTCATGATGATGTGAAGACGTTTTCAGTTTCCTCTGGAAAGCCATTCCTGAAGAATCATTTTGCAACTGCTGCTCAGAATATGAATGGTACTAATGTGAAGCAGCCGCTACTTGGGGGAATACCTGTTGCAACGCCTCATTCGGTTCTTTCAACCATTGGTGCTGTTGCTGGAATGACCGAATCATGGTAATTTTAATTTTATGCTTGAAACGTTACCAGTGCAGTGCACAAACTTGTTTCTCTAACATATCTTATTTTGAAGTAACAGTGTGAAACCATCTGCGCCTTTCCCCCAGCTTACCATCTTCTATGCTGGTGCTGTCAATGTCTTTGATGATATTTCTGCAGAGAAGGTGTTTGTTTATGTTTTTCACATTTCCTCTGCCCTCCATCCATAATAAAGTAGATAAAAAACAAAGTTAAAAGGGAAGCATACATCTTCTTTCCTTGTTGACCGGGTTATGCTTAAATGTGACCATCTTTCTGCAGGCACAAGCTATCATGTTGTTGGCTGGCAATGGCTTATCTGCAGCTTCTAACATGGCACAGCCAAAAGTTCCGGCACCTGGCTTGAAATTGGCAGCTGGTGATGGTGTGTCAGTGAGTCCCCCTGCAAATACACTACCCTGCTCTGCTGTTTCAAGTCCTCTGTCTATTTCATCACATACTGGTGCACAGTCAGGGAGTGGCTCAAGTAGCACTGATGAATTTTTGGCCGCCAAAACAACTGGAGTTCCTACCACTCCTGTTAGCAATGTCGAGCCTCCAAAAATAGTCAATGCAACCACTATGTTGACGTCAGGTATGTTTGTCTATATCATTTCTCCCAATCATGCATTTTGGGATATTTGTCTACAAATTACATTTTGATGACAGACGAATCTATCTGCTGTCTAGAGTTATCTGTGTTTAATCATTACAAATGTTTCTATTTAATGATTTTACGAGCTATCTTTTATGCAGCTGTGCCTCAGGCTCGTAAAGCATCCTTGGCTCGATTTTTAGAAAAGCGCAAGGAAAGGTTAGTTCTCATACATGATTTTTTTTGTTTAGAGTGGGTGGGAGGGAAATAATCTGATACACAATTTCTGTTTCTCAACAAAAGGAAAACAGAAAACATACTTATCATCCTTGGACTGTTAAAACTGGTTGAGAGCCTACACGGAAAAGGACTTTCCAATTGTAGAGTTCACTGCTTTTGTTGTCAGTGCTACTTGTTTACCTCTGTAGTGGCACTCTCCCCTTAGAGTTTGTATGGACGAGAGTATATGAAGGGAATGGAAGGGGGGGAATGGGAAGGGAATAATTTTCCTTTCCTTGTTTGGGAGTAGAGAAATTTATGAAGGGGATTGGAATGTAAGGATAACCTTTCCTACACAAACTCTCACTCTTTGTTCGCCTGCAAATTGAGGAGTAATGATGGTTATAACTTTGCTTTTGTTAAAACTTGGTGTATTTACCATTTTACATTATTAATTTAGTTGCTTAAAAATAGTTTATATGGGTTATACTGAAATTTTGCACTTGCAACCTTTGAACTTGACCAATATTTTCCCTCACTAATCATCGTGTCATGTGGAGAAAGATTAATATGATGCCATTTTCCCTCACCAACCTTTGGATGAAATTATTAATATGATGCCATTTTTTGTCCTTGCAGGGTGATGAATGCAGCACCATATAACCTCAACAAGAAGTCTGAAGAGTGTACCACTGCAGAATACAATGGTGCTAACTTCTCTGCAAGTACTGCTACTAATACTATCTCAGTCAAGCAAGGATAGTAGCCCGTACCTTTGGGAGAATATTTCAGAGAAAAGAAATTGTTGTAACTTCAAAAAACAGATGCTATCATTTTTCGTTGATCAAAACTTGTGTTGACTTTTTCAAGTACCGGACTACGTTCAGTACATAGGTAGGTCATTCTTAATTATTTTGGTGTTGTAGGGCTTTTACCTAATTATTTGAGAGGTGGCTCGGATTTCAGCTTCCGAGCATTGGACCATTATTTAACTCTCACAATGTTACTATTTTACATTTGTGGGGATAAAAGCTCATTAATATATTTATATTTATTTAGTGTTAATATTTTGGGTTGTGATCAAATATTGTACAAAGTAATTATAATTTATAATTTACAGAGTATAATATATTATTTTTTAAGGCTTGATAGGTTGGTATGTTCAAAAAACAAATATAATTTGGTTTGTATTATGGTAACAAGCCAGCTTGGAATAATTTACAAATGCATAGTTGATAAAGCTTGATTTGGCCTTTCATTTATACCCTAGCTGTTATCAAGGATTCCTTATATATACATGGAGCTTTGGATATGATCCAATGATAACAGAAGTTAATTAATCGAGATAGTTCAGTTAAAGTTAATTAGAACAAAATTGACTAACCGAAACTTAGTTGAATGATTTAAAATTTTTTTATTCCTAAAACTGGATCTGATTATGCTGACCCAATTGAAACACAAATAATTGGGGAAAACAAGGTTTGGTTATATCGAGCATCCGTCATAAAAATCCCAATGGGCCTGAATAGAAGCGCAGCCATTAAATTACAAGGCTATTACTTAGCAACTAATAGCTAATTTTCATTTGAGTGATAAATTTTTTCGCAATCATTTTCTTCTACCAGTGATTCATGGCATAAGTGAGTTTTATTTTGAATTTTTTTTTTCTCTTCACTATTATTTAGACCTCACTTATGCCATGAGTCACTGGTAGGAGAAAATGTTTTCTCTAAATTTTTACATATAAATGAGAACAATTTACTGTTTTAAAGCTGCACGATCAAGATAGGGATGACCCCCAAACCGAATTTAAGGACTCAAAATAAATACATATAGTATAGCTCAAATCTTCTGTTCCTTCAGCAAAGACTCTTCAATTCACGGGAGTGCTCTAACTCTCAAAACCTGAAGAGTGAATACACACTTCCCAAATGCCGAAAAAATTGTAATTTACCGATAATTGCAATTTTCGCAAAACACTTTGTCAAACAATTTTTGTTTTTTATTTAATTGTTCTTAAAACTAAATTTTTTTCTGAAACAGAAATCAAACATGTCCTAAATCGCTGGGAAGGCTATCAATTCAGCGTATACAATTTTGTTTAAAACATTGAATACATAAAAAAAAAAAATTCAACATAATATGATAAACCCTATGAACGGTATAATTACTAATTAGGGATGCTGACACGTGAATTATAACATTGAACAAAAAGTGTGAGGAGGTGGTGGTGGTGGTAAGCTACGGGCTTCTTCTTCCGCCATCAATTGATCCTTCTAAAGAGTCTACAGCTAGATTTGAAGTCTCTACATTATGATTCATCTCTTTATACTAACAATTGGCTCCACCATTGACTCAAGTGTGAATTTTTAGAGAAAGTAGAACACACAAATCCGGCAACTTAATTAATAGTATGGTTTGTAATTTAACTAACAAAGATAGATTCTCATTAATTATGCTTATGTTAATATCTCCAAATATTTATCAAAAAAGCAAGCTTAGCCAAATCTTTATTAATCCCCACCATAATGCCATAATGCCACTATCCACTATAACTTCAACTCTTTCCTATGGAAGAGTTGAAAACGTATTGTACTATTGCTATAGATTAATTAGATATAAGAGAATGCTTACACAAATATAGTCCCCATCAAATGCCACCAACCACTATTTTTGTCAAATTGCAAATTGTGAGCAATTTCAATATATATATATATATATATGAGATAGGATCCTTTGACACCGGTGTCAAATTTTGAAATTTGACACCAAATCCCAACCGTTGATTTCCGCCTATCAACGATTATCATTTATTGGAATTAATAATTAATTAATAAGTGTAGTTCCCAATAAATGATAACCGTTGATTGGCGAAAATCAACGGTTGAGATTTGGTGTCAAATTTTAAAATTTGACACCGGTGTCAAAGGATCCTGCCCATATATATATATATATATATATAGAGATAGGATCAACTTACACCGGTGTAAGAATAATAAATCTTACACTAAAGCTTAACCGTTGATTTCCGTGCATCTAACGGTTGAGATTTATTAGGAATTGAAAATTAATTAAAGAGTGAGACCTAATAAATATTAACCGTTAGATGAAGAAAATCAATGGTTAAGATTTGGTGTAAGACTTCTTACTCTTACACTGGTGTAAGATGATCTTGCCTCATATATATATAGGGTTAAGATCATTTTACACCAGTGTAAGTTACACTTCCAATCTTGTCCGCTGATCCTACTTATATCTTAGGGTTCAAATTTTTTAGTGATGTGAGCCATTGGATACAAGTGGATTAGTGGTCAAGATTGAGTGTAAGACTTTTAACTCTTAGACCGGTGTAAGAATATCCTGCCCCATATATATATATATATATATATATATATATATATATATATATATATATATATACACACATATATATACACACACACACGAAAAATCCAAAATTCAGTCACTGGACTATCCAGTGAGTGTATTGTGACTATGGTGTTCTTCCAGGAGAACATAGTTATAATATTTTTTGCACTATATTCTCGCGAGAGAATACAGTGCACTGGACCAAAATTACATCCAGTCGCTTGATATATATATATATATTTGAACATTAACAGTGATTTTTGATATTTCTAAATTGTAAATAAGTAGTAATTTTCATTTTCTCTATAATGTCAGCGTCATGGAAGACGGCAACAATCATCCATCCATTTTAATCGCAATAAATATAAAACTATTTGTAAGACAAAAAAACCGAATAAACAGGTTTTTGAAGAATTCTTAGTTGCGCATGCCTTTAATTGATATAATTTCTTTCTCTGTTTCTCTCTTTCTTTAAATTTTTACAAAAGAGTTAATGAACTAGCTAGTGGAGAATCATAATTAATTATGAACACGCTAATATTTATTGCCTTGTGAACTTTCCACCACTATAATTAATTATTTTGAGTTTCTTATCGATAACATGGCTTTATACCAAATAGTTGAGTGGAGCATGTGGACTCCTTATTTTAAGCAGATCCACTTTTATTATAAAAAAAGAGTGAAAATAAATAAAAAGAAAGAAAAGAAGTTTTTCAATTGAAATGTGTAAACAATTTGTCCTCCTATTACCATGTTATCAAAATATTATCACCACAATATTGTCATTGCTGATTGGCACCCAAAGTCATCCTCAATTTCTTATGTTTCTCACATCTTTCGACTTTTCATATTTAAGAGATCTGAACTAAAAAAAAAACCACCTTGACCTAAACAATAAATTTATGTTACCCCGAAATATAAAAACTCAGAAGAAATTGAATGATCAGCAAACAATAAAAACTGAACGAATAAATTTATTGTATGTTTGGCACATGAAGTGAAATGATACTAATTTTACAATCAGAATAGAATAGAATTATTAATTTTTAATCTACAATTTGGTAATTCGAAAGGATGACTATTTTTAAAAAAATATACTATAATCCTGTTAAAATTATAGATAGAATACAGTCATAAAAGAAAGGAGGGGATTATAAATGTCCAAGGCCAGCACGCCCAAACAATTCACGGGAGTGTGCTCTAACTCTCAAAACCTGGAGTAAAAGCACACTTCCCAAATACCCAAAAAATTGTTAGATACCGATAACTACAAGTAGATTACAACATTCAACAAAAAGGCAAACAAAAGTAAATAATAAGAAGGATAATAGTGAATTATATTGGGCACCAAGGAAGGGTACAGATGATACAAAAACGAAAAGCAAGGATACACGTCGGTAGAAAAACTAGAAAATGCATCATTAAATGCAATTACAAAGAGTAATCCACAAAACACAAAAACAACACGTAGGTACACTGATCCCCACAATTCCTGTAAAGAACCTTGAGGTCACCACCCCAAAAGCTAGCTCAAGGGGTGAGAGTGCCCAAGGCCTTATAAAGGCCATATTAGTTGCTCATCCAATCAATGTGGGATTATATATCTCAACACGCCCCCTCACGCAAGAGCCTTTTTAGGCTAGAAGTGTGGAAATTGCACAGGCCCATTATTGGTTTACCTTTTTGTGTTTTTTATTTATTTTAATTCCACTTTTTAAAGCGGGGGACGGAGAGGCTCTGATACCATGTAAAGAACCTTGGGATACATCACTCCAAAAGCTAGCTCAAGGGGTGAGAGTACCCAAGACCTTATAAAAGCCATATTAGTTGCCCATCCAATCAATGTGGGGTTATATATCTCAACATTGATTTGGATGGGCATATTAGTTATAAAGAAAAACTTATAAAGGCCATATTAGTTATCCAAGCTCTTAATAACGACGACCCTTCTCTTGCTTCCCCATTTATAAAAACTGAGAAGCAACAGACACAGAGTGCTTTGAAGGAGGGTGATTGGACGTGTCCCTTAATTAGAGGAGGGTAGAGGTGGTGGCAGGAAACTTGAGGCAGATTTAAAGTCTACATTGTAAATGGTGGAAGGAGGTGGTGGTACGTGGTAAGCTACGGGCTTCTTCTTCCGCCATCAATTGATCCTTCTAAAGAGTCTACAGCTAGATTTGAAGTCTCTACATTATGATTCATCTCTTTATACTAACAATTGGCTCCACCATTGCCTCAAGCGTGAATTTTTAGAGAAAGTAGAACACACAAATCTGGCAACTTAATGAATAGTGTAGTATGGTTTGTAATTTAACTAACAAAGATAGATTCTCATTAATTATGCTTATGTTAATAAAAGCAGGCTTAGCCAAATCTAATTAATCCCCACCACAATGCCACTATCCACTATAACTTCAACTCTTTCCTAAAACACATTGTACTATTGCAAAAGTAATTAGCTATAAGAGAATACTTACACAAATAGAGTCCCCACCACAATGCCACTAACCACTATTGTTTTCACTCAATGGGAGAACTTGCAAAGATTCTCGACTGCTTTCAAGTATCAGGAAAACGTGTCCTGCCTATTTTCTACTATTGAAATCAGAGAAAATTATTCAGAGCAGTTACTATTTTTTTTTTGTATTTTAATTTTATTTTTTAGGATGTCACCTCAAACACATGGATTGTTTGGGC